GGAAAAACACATACAGGGTAATCCTCAATTACTAGTTTTCCAAGTGGTAGGGTTTTCCGCCACGTGGTTGCTTGGTTGGGTGTGTCAAAAGTATGATTTTTTTCCCACCAGTTTGCTGTTCTGCCATATAAAGGCAAAAAATAGGGTGTTTATAATGTGGCAAATTTTTCCTACATTTTTAATGTGGTTGGGTAGTCCTTTTTATTGGTAATCCAAAACTGTTGATGTTGAACATGGAAGGTAATTGATCCAAACTGGGGAGTTCCATGGCTCGTCATCTTATAAGAAAGTTTATTGCCCCTATATTTTTATCCATCATTTTCAGCTTTGCAGTATCAACAATTCTTTATATACTTTAAAACAGCATTTTTGTGAAGGTTTCTTCTTGTTTAAAATTTTAATTTATACTTTTGAGCTTAACTAAGGGACAACACCCTGATATCTGGGGAGTAGTTCTATGTGTTGTATGGTTAAGTATGTGAACAGATCCTTCATTCTGGTAAGTAAAACTTTCTGATACATTTGTCCTTTCCCCCCATGTTGTAGCCGTGATTTGTATGTATGCACACAAAGTCAACTGGGGCACCATTTAAAAAAAAATAAGAAATCACTTGGGTAGTAAAGGCAAACTGAGAACTGACATTTATAATTAAAGTTATACACAGTATAATACTACATTGTAATGGGGGAAACAGAAAATTATTTAGGTTTTTTATTTATTTCATTTACACTTTTTTAAAAAAAACTTTCTTTTTCCCCAATTGCAACCCAAAGCAGTGTGCTCCTCCATTTTATCTTCTGGTGCCAAGTGCTTCTGCTCTCAAGAACAGTGTCCTTCAAGCAGCTGAAAAGCACCTAACACCAAAGGAACACACTCTGCAATGGATGGGGCACAGCTTAAGACCCCACCCACTGTTTTTAAGGACAAAATGAAACTATTGCTGAAGGAACTCAAAATTTGTTATGTACATGAAACAAAAAGGAATCTCAATAAAAAGAGAGTATGGAAGAAGTGAGAAAAAGTCATACTCACGTGTAAACATTGTGAGGAACCAAGGAATAGCATACAGCTAAAACAAAGTGGAAAGGGGGAAAATACATTGTTAAAGGAGCTCCTTGTAAATTTTCTATTACATTTTAGTGAAGTACTTCTGGATTGTCTAACTGCACTGAGAAGTTAAGGCAAGCAGCACCTCAAAGCCAGATTGCAGCTTACATCTCAATTATGATATATCACCAATATTGCAAATTAAACTTTAGAAAGATTTTCTATATTTCTATATTCTGTACAATGATTGTAATCGAGGGGTTTTGACGGAACTGTAATGCATGCTCCATATGGCTTTTTGGCATCAACTAAGCAGTCCAGCTCCTGCCTACCTAGCAGTTCGAAAGCAAGAAATTGCAAGTAGATAAATAGGTACCACTTCGGTGGGAAGGTAACAGCGTTCCGTGCATCTTGGTGTTTAGTCATGCCGGCCACATGACCATGGAAATGTCTTCGGACAGCGCTGGCTCTTCGGCTTTGAAACGGATATGAGCACTGCAACCCTAGTCGGATTCGACTGGCTTTCGAGCAAGGGAACCTTTACCCTTTACCTTTAAGCAGTATGTCATAGTGAATATTTATTTAAAATACTTATATTTTAGAAATATTTCCTTAAAGTATTTATTTATTAAAAACATTTTATGTCACCTTTCCAAATCTGGTGAAAGGCACTCCTGACTACTGCTGCTACCTGATTATCCATAAGAACATAAGAGACGCCAATGTTGGATCAGGCCAAAGGCCCATCCAGTCCAACACTCTGTCACACAGTGGCCAAAAATACCAGGTGCCATCAGAAGGTCCACCAGTGGGGCCAAGACATTAGAAGCCCTCCCACTGTTGACCCCCCCAACAGGAGGTCCAGGTCCAGCAGCACCCCCAAGCTATGAACCTCCTCCTTTATGGGTAGTACAACTCTACCCAGAAGAGGAGATAACCCTATTCCTGGATCAAACCTTCCCACAACTAGTAGCAGCTCTGTTTTGTCAGGACTAAGTTTCAGTTTGTTAGCCCTCATCCATTCCAAAACTGCTTCCAGCACCTGTTCATGGTTTCTTCAACCTTGCTGGCATCTACTGGAAGTGTGAGATAGAACTGAGTGTTATCCACATATTGGGGGCAACTCAGCACAACTATGACAGAATATATAAACTTCTGGACCACCCAGGAAATCCTTTTGTGTACTACAGCTAATGCTGTAGAACATTCCGCTCTGCATGCATTGGCTGAAGAAGTCTGAAGACCATCTGTGTGCCCAGGCATAAACTCACAGCCACCCAATCGGTGCAGTAGGTGTGGGGGAAAGCCATGGTTCACTCACACGGCTTTACTCCACATCTTTGGCTCCCAACAGGTGGCTGTGATTTTGGGTGCACACACACAAACACACACACACTCCTCAGATCCTCCAGACTTTTGTAGCCAGTGTGTGTGTCTGCCTGTGGTCATGTTCAGCCACCCCTAAACCTCCAACACTAGCAGAGCAGCTCGTTTACCCAAGCTGCTTCTCCTTCTCCTCCACCTTAAATGTGATAATGATCAACTTTGTTGTATTATTTGGGTCTCAGGACTAGACCAACATTCCCCCCCCTTTTTTTTCTTTTTTGGCCTGCAGCCTTTATTGACCAAGCTGAACCAGAAGGTGAAGGAGAAGTGCAAGCCAACCCAGCAGTTTGAATACAGGGAAACAGTAAAGGCTAAAGTGTCTCTTTTCCTGCTTTCCTTAAAGAGGCATAGGCTGCAGCCCGGCAAGCACCCTCCTTCTCCCTCTACCTTGCAATGCCCCTCCAAGCAAGCAGCCAACCTGTTCCAAGGTGAGGATGCAACCCAGCAGCTGAAGGGGTGGTGGGTCAGAGCAAAGATGAGGCAGTGCTGGCAACAGAACTGACAGTGAGATCAGCATCCCATGGGCGAAGGGGGAAAGGGCCTGGGGGAACTCTAGATGGGATAGGGAGCCCAGGGAGAGATGCCTTCCAAGTATGTTCCCAGTAATTTAATGGTCAATCCTCCCCGACTCTATACTGCACTGGCTGTCTGCTAGTTACAGCTGATAGGATATTTGCATCAATTTTGGGAGGCGGGGGTAAAAATCAACAAGAACAAACCTCTAAAGTGCTCACATTTATAGACAACAGTTCACAGAAACACTGTATGTCTGGTACGTTCAGGGCAGGGAATTTGGGATTGCTGCCAGAGCATTGTGGGTTCTTATCATTGCAGAAACGCCCACCGCTAACGGATGATTTTGCATTCATTTCACTGTCAAAGGGCAAGTGGTCTCTCTGGTAGCAGGAATTGCTCTGACAGAACAAAACTCCTGCTGTTCACAAACAATTACTTCCTTCCATTGCAACCGTTACCTGCAGTTGCATAAATGAAAGGTACAGGCCTAATTTTTATACATCACTGAGACACGAAGAGGTCACCATGGAGACCATTAAAGTGCTTTAAGACTCAGAACTACTGAGCTGATCACAAAGACATGTCAGATCTCCCCATCTGACAGGTAATCAATATAAACCAAAAAAAGTCATAAACAGGTATGTGACTGCACTACCCAAAGTGAAGGTTACATTGTAGTTCCCCTCCCCAACAATATAAACATTCTGGAAACAGGGAAGAGTTAGCTCTGTTGAGAAAGCAAATACGGTAAAGTCAGAATTATCTGTTTTTTATAGCATTCTACCTTGGTGGAGAGAAATAGTTCGGTTTAAAAGAAAGAAAAAGACACACAATAATCTTGTGAAATAGTTGAGGCGTACTCTTAGTACACATTCCCAGTAATTTAATGGTCAATCCTCCCTGACTCTATACTGCACTGTCTGCTAGTTACAACTGATAGGATATTTGCATCAATTTTGGGAGGCGGGGGTAAAAATCAACAAGAACAAACCTCTAAAGTGCTCACATTTATAGACAACAGTTCACAGAAACACTGTATGTCTGGTACGTTCAGGGCAGGGAATTTGGGATTGCTGCCAGAGCATTGTGGGTTCTTATCATTGCAGAAACGCCCACCGCTAACGGATGATTTTGCATTCATTTCACTGTCAAAGGGCAAGTGGTCTCTCTGGTAGCAGGAATTGCTCTGACAGAACAAAACTCCTGCTGTTCACAAACAATTACTTCCTTCCATTGCAACCGTTACCTGCAGTTGCATAAATGAAAGGTACAGGCCTAATTTTTATACATCACTGAGACACGAAGAGGTCACCATGGAGACCATTAAAGTGCTTTAAGACTCAGAACTACTGAGCTGATCACAAAGACATGTCAGATCTCCCCATCTGACAGGTAATCAATATAAACCAAAAAAAGTCATAAACAGGTATGTGACTGCACTACCCAAAGTGAAGGTTACATTGTAGTTCCCTTCCCCACCAATATAAACATTCTGGAAACAGGGAAGAGTTAGCTCTGTTGAGAAAGCAAATACGGTAAAGTCAGAATTATCTGTTTTTTATAGCATTCTACCTTGGTGGAGAGAAATAGTTTGGTTTAAAAGAAAGAAAAGGACACACAATAATCTTGTGAAATAGTTGAGGCGTACTCTTAGTACACACTGCCCCCTAGCAACCTCCCTCTGGTATAGCCAAGTGTCAGACAGCTCAAATAGTTACTGCAATGCTTCCTTAAATTTTTCATTTGAAAGATGTAGTATGAATCATATGTTAGGAACTGTATCTATTTTTACTTCATTCCAACACTTTTCAGTATTAATTATGCCTTAGCCTTAAAAAAGCTATAGAACTTCCAATGTTTAAAGTATTACAATCTTATGCTAGTTAGCCTCCCAATAATTCTGTGAAGCAAGTATGTTTTTGAGATTTTCTTTTTATTACGAACAGGTTAGAAACATACATAGACTCTTGACACAGGGTCTAATGGTCCGTCAACACTGACTAATATGAGAGTTCCGGTTTAAGCGTTTCCCCGCTCGGACGCGTCTCGTCTTGCTCAGATGGAGACGTGCTGAGACCCGGCTGACGGGAGGGGTTCGAGTTTGCCCCGGACCCCCCCCCCCCCCGGCGACTCCCGAGAACGACCACC